AAGCATAGAGCAGGTCCTCATCACAGGGGAAGAGAAAATGTGCTCGAGATGGACGGGTTGTACTTCTACAGGAATCCCTGATGACGGGTACATGGTTACTGCCGTTGCCATGACTCTGGCAGCTGAGCTGAATCTGCCGCATCCAGGGAGGCCTGCAGAGTGGACCTTGCGATCAGTCGACCTTCCATCAGGAAAGACTTAAACTTGCCCCTCGTGTCCTTGGGCAGCTAACTGAGGAATTTGGACGTAGCATCCCAATTTGAATAATCATAATAGGCAAAAAGGGTCTGATGGTTTGCTATACATAGCTGTAACCTCACAGTTGACTAACCCACATTTCTACTAAAAATTCCCAATTCCTTTGTATCCTTTTCTTTAGGAGTTGCTTTTGCTCTAGCTTGGCAGTGTCTCACATTTACTCCTGCCACTATCAGGGAGCCTACTGAGGGGTGTGGATAAAACTGTTTGAGGGATGAGGGGGTTTGCCATAAAGTTTGTATAGGCTGCATAACTGCCTCAATTATAAGGAGAGCAATTTCCCCTGCTACAGCCAGGTGTAAAATATCTAGTTTGTGGGATTTTTCTCTGAAAGCTCTATTTATATTCCCAGGGACACAGCAATCCTTTTCGAGAATTCTTGGTAGAACTTAACATCATCTGATACTAGAGAAGATGTCTCCAGTACCCGGGTCTCGCCTGGTGAGGCGGACGAGGTGTTCAGAAGAGGCAGGTTCTTTTGGACCTTACTGAGGCTGGTCTTGAATTGCCAATGTAGAAGACCTGCCTGAAGCAAGTAATGGGTGGTTCTGATCCTCAGTGCCCCATGGGATCTTGGTACCAACATTGAGTGGCCTGGGTGGAGAAACTTCTCCCTTTTGGGGATATATTTCTGTAGTTTAGTGCTTGCCCAGTACAGACTTTGGATGGTCTGCCAGTACTAGGCAGTGAAACTTATCTTCTCAGTGACTGACTTCTGTGATGCAGCAGAGATAACAATCTAGACACTGGAAACATATCCCATGGTACCCACTAGGGCCATTGACTTGTGCCTAGACCTGGCACTCCCATTCTTTTGACCTACTCAAGATAACTCCAAGAATGGGAACAATCCCTGGAGGATGCCCCAGATTCCCAGAAGTCAGAGATGTAGGAACCCACCAGACTCTTGAGGAGAAGCATGAGTACTCCAAAGGCCAGTGTGAAGCAGTACTGGGTAGAGTCATCGGAGATCAGGACCACGATCGACAATGGGCCTGCAATACTGGCAGCAACATCTGGGGCTTACTGGTTATCAGAACTGTGTGCTGAGCCAAAGTAGCTACTGCTGGTCTCGGAGCTGGCACTGGGACCAAGGGAAGCAGCACAAGACCTGGTGTAGTTGGCGCTGTAGCAGACCACTACATGGAAGCCAACAAATGCACCATGTGCAATGGCCCCAGCAAGGTACCATGGAGCTGAATGACCAGCGAGGGTCATACTGAGAAGCTCGGTAGATCCTTCACAGCTGTGTAGGCCTCTTGGGTGACTGACACGGAAATGGGCCTTTGTTTTGCTGTCAATGCGGTTGATAGCTCTGCTGTCTGTGCCAAGGAAGCAGCTGATCTCAGTCTTGAAGCTCCAGCAAATCAAACACCTGTCCCTAATGTGACCCTCACCCAAGCACTTCAAGCCGTGAGAGTGAGGGTCTCTCATGGGCATCAGCTTGTGACATCCAGGGCAGGATTTGAAGCCAGGGATCTTGGTGTAGGCTCCGCTGGTATCAGGTGAAGCCTGGAGTTCACCGACTACTGACAGCCACAACAACAGTATAATGTCATCCAACTAAGACAGCACATTTGCAAGAGGAATGACCTGACAGCACACTCCAACTGCTGAAGGTAAGAAGGAACTGAAAGATCATAGAATCATAGAAGATTAGGGTTGGAAGAGACCTCAGGAGGTCATCTAGTCCAATCCCCTACTCAAAGCAGGACCAACAAGATGTGAGGGGTGACTCCACCCATTTATGCCCTCAACTTGCAGCACAAGGAAAAGCAGGGTGCAGGTGTGGCAGCCCCTGCGGGTACCGCTAGGGAAAACTCTGCAGCACTGGTGCACAAGATGCATACATACCTAGTGTAATGGACATATGCAAGAACAAAAAAGTATTAAGATTGTGGTATAAATATTAGAGAAGAACATTCCTCTTCTTGAGAGGCAAATTTAGCATTTCTCTTCTTGAGAAGCAAATTTAGGCTTATCTGCTCCCTTTGCAGCAGAAGGTTCAATTGTCTTCTGTCGCCATCTCCTAGCAAGTGGGAACTTATCCATCTATCTGAGCCTATACAGCAGGGGTCGGCAACCTTTCAGAAGTGGTGTGCCGAGTCTTCATTTATTCACTCTAATTTAAGGTTTCGCGTGCCAGTAATACATTTTAACATTTTTAGAAGATCTCTTTCTATAAGTCTATATTATATAACTAAACTATTGTTGTATGTAAAGTAAATATGGTTTTTAAAATGTTTAAGAAACTTCATTTAAAATTAAATTAAAATGCAGAGCCCCCCTGACCAGTGGCCAGGACCCAGGCAGTGTGAGTGACACTGAAAATCAGCTCGTGTGCCATAGGTTGCCTACCCCTGCTATACAGAGTAATGTTGGAGAGTTAGACATACATACACTTACTAGGTTTCAGGCTGTTAAACAATAAGAAGGCTAGAAGTGCCAAATCTGGTGTCACTCAGATTTGTTCTCAAACTAACTGAGTTTGTACTGGAATCACACACCACTACTGTAATATGAACACATGAACAATCCTTCATATTATATGTCATTAGCCATAGTTCTGTACATGGACATCATCACTGTATTGGTATTGACCATTCTACACGGTGTCAGGTAATGTGAGCTCTAACTCGGTGTACAGAGCAATAAAACTTAAGCTCAGGATCCTGTTTATGCTTAAAACTGGATGCCAATATGAGGAATATATTCCTGCTGAGACCTGAACTCAGGACTCTCAGGTATGAAAGCAGTTGCTCTAATACTTGAGAAAGCAGATGATCTACTAGATACCAAAAGTAGCAGCAGCTGCTCTCTTTTTGACCTACCAGCCATTAGTGAACAGAAACAATACTATGGCTATGGGGGATGAAATAGCATATCCATGTGTGTCTGGAGTGGCCAAGGTATGGCTCAGAAACAAAATGCAGATAATGGAGCTCTACATCATAACTCCCTAGCCGCCTTCATTAGTATGGAGATGGGGTAAAGTAAAGTGTATGTCATGTCCCTGCCATGGCTAGCCCGCACAGACAAGAACAGAACTTATTAATGCTGCCAGCTAACAAGTTACTCCATTAGCTCAAGTAACAGATGTTTGTATTTGATGGTGAAGGTTCTGGAGATCAAACCCTGCTGACAACCTGTAATGGTTGTCAGTACACACACATGTCATTCTAACCAAAATTTCAGCAAATGCTTTTAATTTTCATTCCTTCCTTCCCTCTGCTCAATAAGAACAATTGCAGTTTAACAAATTAATGTTTCTGCAACTCTAGTTTAAAAGAAAATGAAGATAAATATCGGGTGGGAAATCTGAAGGGCAGGACAGGCAGCACTGTTTCCCCCCATCCCATCGGAGATGGCACAAGAATAGCTGGGAAACATCCAGTTGTGGATATTGTCCTCCATGCACTTAGCAGAAAACTTTCATGGCTGAACGGCAAAATGTTGGAGGAAGAGAGTTTTTAAAAGAGTAGGGAAAGAGGATTGTTAGAAAGGTCATTCTAGACTGGTCTTTTTGCTACTTGAGACTTTAAATGGCAAGGAAAGAACAAACTCATGATCAGATGGCACCAGGACAGGCTATGGCTCCATTACATACTGCATTCAGTTAAAACCCACCCTCAACACCAAGTCATCCAGATGCAACACTGGAACCACTTTCCACTACAACTTCACTGTTTTAATGTCTTAGGCTAATTTTTGTAGCTTTTTCCATGATTTATTTTGAAATAATGAAAGTAAGGCTAATATTCATGGAGTTTCATAAATTTTACTTATCACAGAAATTTTTCTATTAACACATAATATAAACAGGTTTGCTGATTTAACAGCCTCTGAGTATTATAAATCACTCAGTCTTGGAACCAACATGAAATAAAGAACTAAGATCTGGAAACGCAACCCAGGGATTGTTGGGAAGAGGAAGCATGTATTTAGAACATCTGAGAAGAAATCACCAAAATATTGATTTGACTTCCAGTAATGTGCATAGCCCACAATCTCAAAGAACCTGAAGTAGGTTACATCATCTGCTCGAGGCCTCTAGGACTGTGAAAGGTTTGGTCCGAAATGATTTTGAACTAGTCACTGGCAGGACTGAGGGAATATATGCATTTCATTCCTCAGCATTTGAAAGCCATCATATTTGTGTTGCTGGGTTTCCTAACTTGCTGTTGAGAAATTTTGTAGCAGTATTCCCTTCCTCTGAAAAACTTAACTAAACAAAAAAATCTTTTAAAAGTAATACAAGAAAAAATAACTAGTGCATATTACTGGGGTTCCAAATCTAATGATCTTCACTATGTTTATGAGATGGGAAACAGGACTGATTTGCACTGTGGGTCTCACGCCTATATTCAGAGATGATTTATTTGTATCATAAAAGTGCATAACCCACCTCTAAAGAATGTATTTATTTATAGGAGATTCTTTGCACAGGTCAAGAATTTAGCTATGATGGAATATAAGTGCATTGTAATGGGTTACAAATACATACCCAGCCTGGAAAATATCTATGGGCAAATCACAAAAAAACAGAGCCATGGACAATTCAATGCAGAGCCTAGGTACATTCCTCCTCCTTCTCTACATAAACAGTTATTGGGTTCTGATTCAACTACAGGGTCCCAGGTTAGTTTGAAAGCAACCAAGCACAGAAATCAAGGTCTGGACTTAAACTCTGCAATGTTACATTTATCCCACACATCATCATTATCCAACTCAGACAGCCTCACCTTAGTCCATGGATGTGCCTTAATCTGAGGGAATTTGAATTCAGTGTAGTTTGGATTCATTTCTCTAATTTGTTCCCTTGTAGGCGTTCCCAGGACCTAGAAAGGGGAAAAAGAAATTGTTTACATATACTTCCGATCTACAAAGTGATAAAGGTCCTAATAAAACTTGCTTGACAATATGATCAAACTTACAATAAGGAATGTCATTTTTTGTAAAATGATCAAACTTACAATAAGGAATGTCATTTTTTGTAATGTGCAGTATGGTAGAGAGAGTAGGCATAAAGTGTCTGGCAAAACATAACTAGTCACTGGTACCAAGCAGTTTTTGCAATGCATTGAGACTTGGGGCACAACAGACTGGACAGTTCAAATTCTGCAAATTTACTTAACTGATGAAGGTCTTTCATAAAATTCAGGCATCTCTCTCAAATTCAGTGATGCTTCAAAGGAGAACAGAGCAGAATTCCTCCAGATTAGGAATTTTATAAAAAATTATTTGATGAACATCTTTAATGTAATAGGCTGTAGCTTGCAGTCTTACACCCTGATTAAGGTAATGAACAATAGCACACCCGAATGCATTTTAATAGTCATGAGTGAGAGCTCTCTAATGAACTTAAAAGATCAGACAAGCATTGCTGAGAGAGGCAGAACAGATTTTATTAGATGGAGATTGATTTTTTTCATATCTAAATGCAGACAGAGTGTTAACTTAACTACACCTAACGTACAGGCATTCAATTCACGTACCTGTAGTTTAGACATTTATTCTAGGAATTCAAATATAAAAGGATCTGTGTTTATATAACAACAACAAAAACACAATCAGTGTGATGTTATCTGTATATACATTTCCATAGAGAAATATGTGATTGTATTTATGAGATGATTTGGTGAGTTTTACATATCTATGAGTACATTAGTAGTTTTTGTTCAATTAACATTAATCTCAGAAAAAAATTCAAATCCTTTAAGAGGGACAAAAAACTCCTCAGCAAATTTGGAAGTCCACTGCTTTTTGTTTAAATTCAGTTCCTCTGGGTTCTGCTATTACAGAAAGCACTGTGGGAGAGGAAGCCTGAAACTCAGGCACCTCTTCTGACAGACAACCTCACAGTCATGTTACAGACTTGTGACAAATCTTTTGCCATGGAAATTCATGTCATGTTGCCAATTCATCACTAGGATTTCAATTCAAGGATAAGCAGGAACATGTCTAGATGTTATGAAAAACCTCCTGCTGAATATTGTCAGTTGTATTCATGAAGGTTTGTATTATTTTACATCAATAGAATTTTTTTAAATAAGCAGAAAGTGCAAAGAGGCTTGGGAAAGAAAAAGGCATGGGTTAAATGCATCTCAAGTAATTAAAGACTGTGGCCAAAATTTATGAAAAGTGAATAGTTTGGTTTTTTTAAATCTCATGTTTTGATTTATTTTCTAATTTTGAGTGTGAATGTAATAGTTGTGTAAGATGCGGGACTGACTGCTTTGGCAAGTGAAATTCTCTATTTAACCATATAAAAATCACAATCCAGGGTGCAGCAGTGCAAGCTTGCATTACACCACCGCCTGTCAATGGACGTCAACCAGAAGCTGGTAAAAATCTCTAAGGGTGGGGTTGCTAACAGCCTAAGGCTTGATTTGAACCAGCAACTTATGAGTGAAAGACCACACTTAGAGCTGGCTGGAAATTTTCTGACAGAACGCCTTTCCATCAGAAAACACCAATTCACTGAAAGTGAAACGTTTTGCAGGAACGTATCGATTTCAACTCATCTTTTGAATGAAACCCGGCAAGTTTCTTGTCAGTTGTCTCCCCCGCAGCCCACCTGCCAGGAGCATTGGAGCCAGGCTCCACTGCAGCCTGCCTAGTTGTTGAGAGCCTGAAAGCCCAAGAGCCCTGGCTCCCAAGCTCCTCCACAGCTCGCCTGGCAGGCTGCCTTGCAGCCACGGTTCCCAACGTACAGTAGAATTTCACTTCTGCAAAAACTGTCAAGGTTTTGACATTATATCCTGATCAGGACAACAACTCTCCCTGCTCCCTACTTTAAAAAACAAACAAAAATTACAAAAAAAACCCTCAAAAATTTTCACGGAAGTGAAATTTACTTTCCTAGCTAGCTCTAGTTGCATTACACAATGATAGCCCCTCATTCCCCAAGTCTAATACGTTTAAAAGTTTCCCCAGTGTAAAACTACTTGCTTAAAGGATAGCTATTTATTTTTTCACAAAAGCACTTTTCACTGTAATGGGCTTTTCTCAAAAAAAGGTTAAAAAAATTAATTTTGCAAATCCGCTGAATCGAAGAAGTGGCGCCAAACACCAAAGCTTCTCAGAATAAACTACACTAAGCACAAACTCTTAAAGATCCGCATAAACACTACAATGGGTTTTAATTCTGCCAGATCTCAAAATATGATTAATCATAACAATTTGACTGGGAAACCGCTACAGAACACCTGTTGGTAAGTACTGGAAGCAATGGTGTGGACAATTTAGACATGAGAGGCAGGTAGGTTGCCTGGTCAAGTGTTGAGGGAGGGGAGATTGAAGTTAAGCGTACTAGCCCTTAGCTATTTAATTTGGAACCAAAAGGAGTCTACTCATCCTCGGTGTTTTAAAGATAGATTCAACTGTTAGAGATGGGCTGAATTACAGATTTGCATTTTCATTGTGCCTACTGGAATTCCCCTGAAGTTTCAGTAAGATAGAGCCATGTTACCTTTAGAAGCTGAGCTCCCATTTGGGAAATGAAAACCAACTGTATTCCTCCACCAAACCTTTGCAACCCTGCCATGTGTTGTTAGAAGCCTACCCATCTGAATTTATATGTCATCCATGTCGTGTCATCCCCCCCAGATCTTTCTCGTTTCTTACATGCTATGAACAGTGAAATGGTTAACAATGTCGACATTTAAGTATCACTAGCATCCTGAGATAGCACCTATTGAAATGAATGGAGCAGTTCCCACCTCAGAGCTATTGTTTCAAGCTCTCTGCAGACTGAGGTGGATATAGCTGTATTGGTTATATTCTGAGTCACATTTTCAAGGTTTTCTTTGCAACCATAATAGTTAGACTTTTTTTTAAATAAGAGCTGACACTCTGGAGATCAACTAAGGGATCTATCCATACTCTCTAGTTAGTTCTTCATCTCGCTCTCTCACACACACCCACACCAAGTCACCCACTGTACTTTGGGAAACACTGGGACACAGAATCCTTTACTTCCTGTCCTAACAGGGCTATTAAGTGCTTTTAAGACAGCTGCTGCATTTCCGTGATGAAATGATGCCTAAACATTGTTTGAGTTTGGGGGGAGGGATAGCTCAGTGGTTTGAGCATTGGCCTGCTAAACCCAGGGTTGTGAGTTCAATCCTTGAGGAGGCCACTTAGGGATCGGGGACAAAAATCAGTACTTGGTCCTGCTAGTGAAGGCAGGGGGCTGGACTCGATGACCTTTCGAGGTCCCTTCCAGCTCTGTGAGATAGGTATATCTCAATATATATATAAAAAAGAGCAATAGTCTGTAAAGTATTTGGGAATGATAAGCACGGTCTACTCACCAACCACCAGTCCACCTGCATCCCCAGAGTTCAGTAATTTCATTCAAGGAAGTTTTAGACACTTAAAGTCTTGACACAAGACTTGTGAATCGGATCTATGCCTTTCCTGGCCTGTGAAAGAGTCATGAGCAACTGGTACCAGACCAGACCAAAATAATCAATACCTCATTCAAGGAAGGACTCTTCCCTTTCTCCTTGATACATGCAGTAGTCTGAGCAATGCCAAAGAAAAACACCCTGGACACGTTGGTTCTAGCCAATTATCTCCCAGTATCAAGCCTCCCATAGCTAAGCAAGCTCACAGAGAAGCTAGTCAAAGGCCAATCACAAGCTCATCTTATTGAAGGAAACTTATTAACTTGGTATAATCTGGATTCAGGCCAGCACATGGAACTGAAACTGCTTTAGTGGCACTGATGAATGATCTCCTCCTGTCAATGGAAAGAGAGCAGACATCCTTTCTTACCCTCCTTGACCTCTCTGCATCATTAGACATGGTCAATTACAAGATATTGTTGTTTTGCCTGAGAGAGGTGGCAGGCATCCAGGGTTATGTGCTAAAATGGACTGAGTTCTTTATGGAGGGACATACCTAACAAGTAATTATGGGAAAATGCAACTCCATCAGTAGACCCCTCGTTTATGAAGTCCTAAAAGGATCAATTTTCTCTCCAGTCCTTTTCAATGTCTACATACAACCACTAGGTGAATTGATCAGAGGACATGGACTCAAGAGCCAGAAACATGCAGGTGACATACAGTTCTACTTATCCTTCACCACACTCTAGCTATGTGGGACACAGAACTTTATCTCAGTGGCCTGTACAAGACTGTGGAATGAACTCCCCCAGGAGCTAAAGACCATCACAAACCTCAACATCTTCCACTTCAAGTGCAAGGTGCAGTTCTTTGATCTTGCCTTCTCTAATGCATGCATGCATAGCAACATGTACATTAAAAACAAAACAAACAAAACCCCCCGACAAGAACAAGACACGCCACTGCACATACTTTACCCCCTTTGGAGATAAGATAAATGTGATAGCTGTTAGTCATGTCACTTAATGCACTATTGGAAGGCTCTCAGAAACTATGGTGAAGAACCTATATAGAATAGATCAACTCAGAGACCTTTGATTTAGCTTCCTCCTCCATTTCCAAAGAACCATTTGTAGTTTTAGATTATATTCCAAACTCTCTTTCAAATTCAGGTTAACACATCCTAGATGAAATTGGTGTCTGATTGGAATGCAGCAATATTTCTCTGAAAATATTAATATTCATTTGGAATACTAGAACTTCCATGCTATATACTAGGGACCTTTTGCCTCAAATCCTAGATAGCCTTGGCAGTACTGAAGACAGTAAGTTTGCATACAAATGCAGAGACAGATACTTCCTGATACTCTTTCACATGAAAAGCCTGGATAATATAAAGTGTGTATGTAAACCACAAGGAATTAGGACTTTTCTGAAGGATTTCTGCAGTTAAATATCCAAAAAGATCTGTGATCATGTTGATT